TCTCCTAACTGGTCAAGGCCGGCAAAAAGAAAACTCTTCTTTCCACCTCCATTTTAAAAAAGAAAAAGATGACCTTTGCTTCTGTGGCTATCAGAAAAATAATCAACTTCTGAAGAAAGGTTACAACTTTCCTGCAAAGGAAACAGAGTTTGGCTGTTCTATACACTGGATAATCACTTGTGATTACCTATTCACCAAATTAAATCATCTCTTCTCACTTTTTCCTTTCCTTAAATTCTTTATTGAATTCAATACAATAGGATTACCCATTTGTGAAAATGTCCTCTTCCTCACTTGGCTTTCGTAGCATGGTCTTACCATGTATAGTTTTCTTCTTTGACTATGTCTTTTCTATCTTCTTTACTAGAGCTTTTTCTTCCATCCACCTCTAAAAAAATAGACAGTTGGCTGGACACAGCAGTTCATGCCTGTAATCCCAGCACTTTGAGAGGCCAAAGAGGGCACATTCTTTGAGCTGAGCTGTTCAAGACCAGCCTGGGTAACATAGTGAGACCCCATCTCTTCAAAAAATACAAAAATTAGCCAGGCATGGTGGCATGCACCTATAGTCCCAGCTACTTGGGAGGCTGAGATGGGAGGATCACTTGAGCCTTGGAGGCAAATGTTGCAGTGAGCCAAGATTATGCCATTGCACCCCAGCCCGGAGCCCTGGTGACAGAGCAAGACTCTATTTAGAAAAAATATAATAAGGTAGGCTTCCCAGCTTGTTTTCTTCAGCCAATCGTGCCTTCACCCCATCTAGAATCCACTGGCACTTTCCTCTCCTCCCTTCAATATAACTTATGTGTGGAAGACTTCCATAGGTAGCTTCTATCTCCTCTGGCCTCTCCAATCCCAATTTCTAACTTTGGTTTATAAAACAACTTAAAAAAAAAACAACCTAGCTCTTCCGTGGGCATCTTGAATTGAACAAATCCAACACTGAATTTATTCATTTATCCTTTTTTCTTTTCTTTTTTTTTTTTTGAGACAAATTCTCACTTGCTCTGTCACCCAGGCTGGAGGGCAGTGGCACAATCATAGCTCTCTGTAACCTCAAACCTGGGCTCGAGCAATCTTCCTGACTCAGCCTCTCAGGTAGCTAGGACTATGGACATGTACCACCAGGCCCAGACAATTTAAATTTAAATTTCGTGTAGAAAAGGGGTCTCTCTATGTTGTCCAGACTGATCTCGAACTCTTGGCCTCATGCAATCCTCCCACTTCTTCCTTCCAAAGCACAGGGATTACAGGCATGAGCCACCGTGCCCAACCTCAGCCTATTTTTATTTGCCCCAAATGCATTCCTCCTTTTACATTCTGTATCTTGGTTGCTGACGACATTGCCACCTTTCCAATTCTTTGAACTAAACACTGGAACATCACCTTGGGTCTTATTTTCCCTTCCCACACCTATATCTAACTGTATATCAAAATTCTATTGATTCAGCCACCAGAGAGGCACTGCCTTTCCACTGTTATTACTTCTCTTCTAGAATATTGCTATGACATCTAGAGGGATCTCTCTGCCTTCAGTCATCCCACATACTGCTCTGCTACAACGTCTCTAAAATATCTTCAGTTGTCTACACCTTGCACACAGAAAAAGACCAGATCATACTATCCAGTGTTTTGATATATGATCATACATATAACTGCCCAAGGGGTTTACCTTGCCAGCTGCCTAGACACAGCTGATTCATCAGGACAGGGGAATTGCAAGAGAAAGAGTAATTCACGGCTGTGTGGGAGACCAGAGTTTTATTATTAGTCAAATCAGTCTCCCTGAGCATTCAGGAGCAGAAGTTTTAAGGATAACTTGGTGAGTTGGAAAAAGCCAGTGAGCCAGGAATGCTGATTGGTCAGGGATGAAATCACAGGGAGTCAAAGCTGTCTTCTTGTGCTGAGTCAGTTCCTGGGTGGGTGGGGCATGGGGCACAAGTTAGATGAGCCAGTTTATTGATCTGGGTGGTGCCAGCTGATCCATCAAGTGCAGGGTCTGCAAAATATCTCAAGCACTGATCTTAGGAGCAGTTTAGGGAGGATCAGAATCTTGTAGCCTTCGATTGCATGACTCCTAAACTCTAATTTTTAATCTTGTGGCTAATGTTAGTCTTACAAAGTCAATCTAGTCCCCAGACAAGAAGGAAGTCTGCTTTGGGAAAAGGCTGTTATCATCTTTGTTTAAACTGTAAACTAAGTTTCTCCCAAAGTTAGTTCAGCCTATGCCCAGGAATGAACAAGGACAGCTTGGAAGTTAGAAGCAAGATGGAGTCAGTTAAGTTACATCTCTTTCACTGTCTCAGTCATAATTTTGCAAAGGTGGTTTCACTATTTGGATTTTGAGGTTCTCTGTAATCAAGAACCAATTTGTTTAGTGCCTTTCCTACCTCTTCCACACTACTTCTTTTCCAAGGGACATGCCTAGGGATCTAAATTAATCTCTCCCTTATTTCTCCCAGTGCCCTTTGTCCAAAAGCCACCCATGGTACTCATCACACTCTGCTCTTCGAGTGTTTGTGTTTGTCTGCTTTTAGGTAGTGAATCTCTGGATCATTTGTCCTTATTGCCTCACTGTGCTTACCACAGCACCTTTAGTGTAAAAAGCACTCCATACATGTTTGTTGACTAATAGTTGTAAATAGCCCTTGCTTCTGCTCACTTCAGTTGTCGGTTCAAGGATGACCCTTAGCAAAGCTATGAGGTAAGGCTTCAAGGACTCTCCATCTCCTTGCTATGTTCCCCTTACTTTCCCTTAGAGATGTCCAGAACCCTCATATTTTCTCCTGCTGACCCAAACATCTTACTGGGGTGCTTCTACAGACCGCTTCTTTTAAGCAATTCTAACTCCCAGAGCTTGCCATTCCGTCTCTTACCGAAACCTACATATCCCTGGGATGAACTTTAGCGCCCACCCTCTTCATTTTATAAATCAAGAAACTAAGTCCCAGAAACGTGACGAGAATTTTCCAAGGTCGTGACTCCAGGTCCATTGCTCTTTCTCTCACACCCATCCTGCATCTCAACCCCTTCTGCTTCAGGCTGCTGTTAAGGACTGGCAAGGGCCTTCCTTTCATCATCCTCATTAACACATCTCTCTTAACAAAGTCATCAGTAGTCTGACTCACACTAATGGATACTGGAGGAAGTTCACATTAGTACCTGGACTCATCCTGTGGTTATTTTGGTCACAGCGCTTTTCCTAGCTCCTGAAACCAGACCTCAGAGAGACACTGTCAATGCTGGGATATGTGAGGCCTGCACATTTTCGGAATGTGCTTCTTATGACTGTGGAATAAGTGATATTCACTCTCTGATGCAATCCTCCCACATGCCACAGAAACCATGGCAGCAGAACTCCAGAGGCATGCCCCCTGCAGCTTTACAACTTCCTGGGGGAAGAGTTCAGTTCATGAATGTGTTGTAATTTCTGTGAAGGGCATCTAAAGTCCTTAAAAACATCCATGAATGAACCTTTTCAACAGTACTTGGAAGGAAGTCAGGGACTTCATCATTAAAACTGAGCCAACTCAGTGATGAAATTCAATGACCACCACAGGAGATATATGAATGCCTCAGGGCAGAACAAAGGCCAGCAGAATCAGCCAACAGCAGTTACTTCCACAAAATGCATTTACCTGAATAGGAACTTGAATGGTTTTCAAGGAAGTACAGTCTCTTTCCAGAAAGTGTCATGAATTCTTTATTCATCCAATAACACTAAGAATCTAAATTTAAATTTTAATTTAGTTTGGGATTGGTGCTGGACTTTAGGGAATAATCTTATCAGGACTGGATTATTCTAGTTAGTGATGATCTGAGGAAACATTGCATTTCTTCTGCTAGAAGAAGGGAGCACTAGCAGCTTGCCTTTTCTGAAAGCTTTGATTACAGAAGTATAGGTCCCTAATGCTTAAAGGGACCTTACAGCACATCTGATTCAACTGCATTTTTAGGTAAAGAACTGATTCCTGTTAACCTGATAACATAGAAATTGCCTATCCTATTTTGGGAAAATCATCCTACTCTAGAAATCGGAAATAATAGAGTAGGAACCTGAGCACTAAATTATAGTTGTTATATTATTAGGACTAAGTGTGTATGTTCACAGGCCTGACAGAAATGAATGCTCTGGACCCCATCCACTTGCCTTCCATTTATTCCTGTGCCATTTTCTCATACAAAGTGGATGGCCTCTTTAAGTTTCCTTGGGGAAGTGTGTAAATGCCTACAGCCCTTTGTGCTAACGTAAAAGTAATTTTTTTTGGCTTTTACTTTTTGGAAAAATAACTTAAACTTCAAGCCTGTTCAGAGACAGCTCAATTTCTTCATTTAGAAAATGGGATAAGACACACTATTTTTTTTTCTTTTTTAAAATATTATTTAATCTTTAACTGAAATCGCCTTTGCAAAGACACACTATTTTTAAATGGCATTTGTGACTATGCAAATGGACAATGTAAAGTACTTTCAAAAATAGAAAATGCTTTGTAAAAGAAACGGGTTATTCTATTTACTTCATGTACACATTCCATTCCATTTATTTCTTCAGCAAATATTTATGAAGCACTTACTAGTATGATCACAATTTCAGTTAAATATTGAGTACAATAGTGCCCCCTTTATCCATGGGTTCATTTTCCATATAATTATTCAATTTTATTATTATTGTTAATCTTTTACTGTGCTTAACTTATAAATTGAACTATATCATAAGTATGTATAGGTAAAAAACATAGCACACATACATAGGCTTCAGTACTATCCATGGTTTCAGTCATCCACCGGGGGGCTTAAAACATATCCCATTGGATTAAAGGTAACTACTGTAATTAATTGCTTACTGCCTGTATCAGTTACTAGAATTCTAGCTTTCTGGGAAAAGGTATTCTCTTTTGTTCTCTAATGCTCAACACCCTGCGTGGCTGGCATTTAAAAGACTAACAAATATTTGTTGAACGGATAGATGAATGCACGAATGAAAAACCAAACGAATAATGAAAACATAAGTGTATATAATACATTATAACACATACTATATTGGGCTTGCATAGTACTATGGGAATTTATAGCAGGAGCATTGTAAAGCCAGCCTTGACGGGGATAATCTCCGGAAGAGCAATTAATCTTTTCAAAATCCGACTCTTGCAGGATACGGTCCCCCACTGGCCTGCCACTAGTTTAAAACAAATTATTTTCTGTGAAACATTAGGATCGTGCCAATAATAGGGCATCAGTAAGACTGGCTGAATGAGTCAAAGGCCTGCGCGGACAAGTCCAATTAGAACACCTCTGGCTAAAAGCCAGAATGAATGAAAGGGTTCATTTCTGGGCGTAGATGCAGTACCGGGACTGAAAATCTGCCCCAAGCCTCCAAGTTGACGTTGGCTCCACCCGCAGCGGCGGCGCCGTGGTCACGTGACCAGGCCGCCACCGCCGCGCCCCCCCCCCCCCTTAGTCGCCTGCGCCTGCGCATTACTCCGAGACGGCGGACTAGCGTCAGTGACAGCTTCCGGTTTGGTTTCTCCGCCTCCTGCTTGGCTAGAGCTGTCGGGGTTCGGCGGCAGCCGCTTTGGGGTGGAGGGGGCAGGGCGTGGTGAGGTGAGGTGAGTGCCGTAGTGGGGTTCCCCGGAGCCATGGCCTGCTCCATTGTCCAGTTCTGCTACTTCCAGGACCTCCAGGCCGCCCGGGACTTCCTCTTTCCTCACCTCCGGGAGGAGATTCCCAGCGGCGCCGTGCGGAGGGACCCCAGTAAGTGCCTCTAGCCTCGCCGTCCTTTCCCCGGCTTCTGCTCCGCTCGTTCGGGTCTCCTACTCGCTCTGCGCCGTCTGCCTCTGCCCACTGGACCCTCAGTTCTCGCCATGCCTCCCTTCTGCACCGGGATGACCCCCTGCCCCCCTCGTTCTAAAGCTCCATTTGTGTTGTCTTCCTCTCGACCCAGCTTTTCTCCTCAGCCCCTCTGATTCCTGGCCAAAAACTGCGTCTTGCTTCCTCTCGGGTCTGCCTGTCACCGCTTCCTCCCTCCCCCCCAACCCCCGCCACTTTCCTAGCTTTCTCTCTGAGCATCTTCTCCGTCTCCCTGTCTTCAGCCTGGGGTCGTCCCCTATTTCCTGTTGCCTGCTCCGTGATCCCATCCTCCCTGTTCCTTGCCAGATGTCAGCGCTCCACTCTGATATTGCCCCAGCGCCCGCTCTCTTCCATCCCGGCGACGGTGGCCTTCTGCCACCTCCCCTTCCGAAAGTGTTCATCATCCCCGCCACACTCTCCCTTCTTCCATCCGCGTTTCCCCCATTCAGATTTTGAGAACAAATGGCTGACTGACAAATGAGTTTCCCTTGAGGTGGTAAGACTCTCCAAAGAAGGAAAATAACCTGTCAGGAAGTGAGCGAGAATCTACATTAGGAACCAAAATTACAGTGACACAGCCAAGAAAGGTTAATTTGCTTTATTGGGATGAGAAGCTTTCCACCTATTTTTATCATCAAAGTGTTAAATAAGCCCTTCCCCACATAGTATAAATTTCCAGGGCTGGTTAATTAGACACTACATAGGTTCTCAGAATTTCCTACATTTCGTCTTTTGAAAAGGTGTGCCTTCTGTTTTATTTTGGTTTTTGCATTTCCAGCATGAACCACATTTGGCTTTGTAGTAGTGCTCTCACTTTGTGCTATACTAGAATGGTGATATAAGGCCCACTAAGCGCCTTTATCTTTTTTTAAATTTAGAAGATATCAAATCAAACCCGCCTGTGAATGATTACATACTCTGTGCCAGTCATTGGTGCTACAAACCAAATAAGGCTTCTAGGAACTTATGTTGTACAGACAAATCATTAGCTGTCATTCACTGTTATTGTGGTATTTATGAGGCACTTTGTTGAAGTGGTGATACTTAAGCCTACCTTTGAAGTACTAGTTAGAGGAATAAAGGAGTGGTAGTAGCATGTGCAGAGGAAGGGAGGCCTGACATGGCATGGCATTTAGAGAACTAAGAAAAGCTGAATGGCTGGAGAGGAGGATGTGAGGGGAAGAGTTGGGGCAGTAAGGCAGTAATAGTAATAAGGAGCTAGATCATGAGAAGCCTTGTGAAAGTTGTGGCGTTTCTCTGAAATTTTAAGCAGAGAAATGACATTGTCAGATTTCTACTTAATGTAATCAACAACATTTGTTGAAGACCTGTAATGTGCTTTGGTAGCAAAGTGGAGGAGAGATTGGAAGAAGGGAAATGGATTGGGAGGCTCTTCCAGTAATCCAAGCAAGAAATGATGTTAGCTTGAACTAACAGCCTTAGCAGGCTGAAGATGATGGACTAGATTAGAAAGGTGTGAAGGAGTTAGAATCTGCAGGTGATGGGCATTGTAACTAGTAAGTGAGAGGGAGTTCAGGAAGCCTTTGGCTTGTGGTTTGGGCAAGTGCATGTAATAGGATAATGAAGGATACAGGTTTTCAACCTTTTGCATTTTAAATGTTTATGGTATGTCCAAGTAAGGACATCTGGTTGAACACCAGATTTAGATAATCTAAACAGTAGGGAGTAATGGGCCAGAGATGTTATTTGGGGAACTGACAGCAAAAAGTGTCAATTCAGTCTCAATTATGTATGCTGTGAAATGCACTGAGTAGTGAAGCTATAAGCTTAGAGGAGCACTGGTGTTTTTTTAAAAGTCAAGTAGAGGTTACTGGGAAGAAAACTAAGAAAGAGTAAAAGAAAGAGGAAGATCAGATGAGAGAAGACCCTTGGAGCTGAGGAAGGTGAGAACTTGATGAAGGTGAGGAATGATCAGCAGTTTTGCAAATGCAGCAGAGGTCAGGTTCCTCAAAAAATTAAAAAGAGTTATCATATGATCCATTTATCCCAGTTTAGGGTATATGTACAGAAGAATTGAAAGCAGGGTCTTGAAGAGATGTTTCCACACCCATGTTCATAGACATTTCACAGTAGCAAAGAGGTAGAAGCAACCTAAATGTCCGTAGATGAATGATTGGATAAACAAAATGTGGCATATACACACAATGGAATACTATTTAGCCATTAAAATTAAGGAAATGTCACATACTATAACATGAATGAACTTTGTTAAATTATGCTAAGTGAAATATGCCAGTCACAAAAAGACAAATACTGTATGATTCCACTTACATGAGGAATAAATAAAGTAGTCATTTATAGAAACAAAAAATAGAATGGCAGTTACCAGAGGCTGAGGGAAGGGAGAACAGGGGAATTGTTTAATGGATATAGAGTTTCAAATTTGCAAGATGAAGTTCTGGAGATCTTTTTTACAACAGTGTGAATACACTTAACACTACTGAACTGTCCACTTAAAGATGGTTAAGATGATAAATTTTATGGTTTTTTTTTTAACCAAAATACAAAATGTCAATTAGATTGATAATAAATAGATTATTTAAAAATGAGACAAAGCTGCTTATGTTGGAAAGCGACATAGGTTCCAATAGCTCCAGGCCCTACCTGACTGCTCTTACTGCTAAAAGGATCAGTATCTTGGCTCACCTGTAACCCATTTGCAGCATGCTGAGTATCTCTGCTATGGGCAGAGTAGTCATTGATGGTTTTAAGTAAAAGTATAGCAAAAGTATTTTAAGGTTTGTGTTTTAAACAGATATGTTTGGTAGCTGTGGAGAGAATAGATTGGACAGTTCAAAGCTAGAGGCAGGTGATCATTAGAGAGATAGTTGTAGAAGTTCAGGTTAGAGCCAATAAAGGCAGAACTAAGGTAATAGCAATGGCAATGGAGTTTGAGACTATTAGAATTTGTGCTGAGAAATAGGATAGCCAGACAAATATTTTAGAGACATTTCTTTGTTGGCAAAGAGAAGAATGGATAGGAGTGATAGGTAAAAGCAGAAGTAGAGTGACCAGTTAGGAGGCTGTTGCAGTATTGCAGAAGAGGAGATTATCCTTAGCATGGGTTTCCTAAGAGGTTATTTTATAGTATACACAGTGACAATCCTGGAAGTATGGCAAGTACAGTTTGGGACTATTGAGACCTTAAGAGTAAGTCATTGAACCTTCCTCAGAGAAGAATTCTTGAAACTCCTAGATATCTGCTGTGATCATATCTTGTCTTTAAAAAAGAGACCAGAAATGGCCCCTTGAACATAGATTACTTTTCTTTGGACATTGTGAGTCTAGGTCTCACATATGTTTACCAGAATAGAGAGCCTCATCAGGTCAAAAGAGTAGACATTACTTACTATCACATTGTCGTCGTCCATCCTCCCTCCCTCCTCCCCGCCCCTTTTAATTAAGGTCTGTAAAGTCAGACATAAAGCCATCACCTGGCTACTCACACTCTACCTTTCAGATGTTAAAATCTTAGTACTATGCTGTTTAATATGGTAGCCACTAGCCGCATATGGCTATTTACATTTAAGTTTAGATAAATAGTAATTAAATTTAAAAAATTCCTCAGTCACAGTGGCTACATTTGAAGTGCTCAATAGCCACATGTTGCTAGTGGCTACCATAGTGATCAGCACAATATAGACTATTTGCATTATTACAGAACATTCTATTGCAAGTATTGCCTTAGTGAGACTTATATTTCTTTCTTCTTCAACTTTTAAGTTCAGAGGTGCATGTGCAGGATGTGCAGGTTTATTATATATGTAAATGTGTGTCATGGTGGTTTGCTGCACAGATCACCCCATCACTCAGGTATTAAGCCCAGCATTCATTAGCTATTCTTTCTGATGTTCTCCCTCCCCCCTCCACCCCAACAGACCTTGGTGTGTTTTGTTCTCCCCTATGTGTTCGTATGGTCTCATCATTCAGCTCCCACTTATAAGTGAGAACATATGGTGTTTGTTTTTCTGTTCCCACATTGTTTGCTTTGGATAACAGCCTCCAACTCCATCCATGTCCCTGCAAAGGACATAATCTTGTTCCTTTTTATGGCTGCATAGTATTCCATGGTGTATATATACCACATTTTTCCTTATCCAGTCTATCATTGATGGATTTTTAGGTTGATTCTGTGTTTTTACTATTGTATAGTGCCACAGTGAAAATATATGGGCATGTATCTTTATAATAGAATGATTTATATTCCTTTGGGCATATACCGACTAATAGGAATGCTGGGCCAAAAGATACTTCTGCCTCTAGGTCTTTGAGGAATCACCACACTGTCTTCCACAATGGGTGAACTAATTTACACTCCCACCAACAGTGTGAAAGCATTTTTTCTCTGCAACCTTAGCAGCATCTGTTGTTTTTGGACTTTTAACAATGGTCATTCTGACTGGCATAAGATGGTATCTCGTTGTGGTTTTGATTTCCATTTCTCTAATGATTAATGAAATTGAACTTTTTTTCAGTACGTTTGTTGGCGACATGTATGTCTTCTTTTGATAAGTGTCTATTCATTTCCTTTGCCTTTTGTAATGTGGCTGTTTTTTCTTGTAAATTTGTTTAAGTTCCTTGTTGACTTTGGATATTAGACTTTTGTCAGGTGGATAGGTTGCAGAAATTTTCTCCTATTCTGTAGGTTATCAGTTCATTCTGACAATAGTTTCTTTTGCTGTGCAGAAGCTCTTTAGTTTAACTAGATCCCATTTGTCAATTTTTGCTTTTGTTGCAATTGCTTTTGGTGTCTTCATCATGAAATCTTTGCCTGTGTCTGTGTCCTAAATGGTATTGCTAGATTTTCTTCTAAGGTTTTTATAGTTTTGGGTTTTAGTTTTAAATCTTTAACCCATCTTGAGTTAAATTTTGTATATGGTGTA